AGGGGGACAGCTTGAGGCTCTGTCTCAAAAAAAAAAAAAAAAAAAAAAAAGGATGACAATACTCTGAAGAAACCATCTGTGATTATGGACAAGACTGAACGTGTATACTTCTGGACCAAGTAAAATGTTTTTCAGGCAACTCATTAAGATGTCTGTAGTTTTGCAGAGGGGATGTGTTTAAATTTGACTACTACCACACTGAAATAGCAGTTACCAGATAAGACATTAGGGGGAAAAACTTACCCCTAGTTAGAGAAACCACCAGTTCTAGAACCAGCAGAATAACTAAAACTGCTTGAGAATAGATCATCTTGCCTAATAGACTCCCATGCACCTGCTCACCCCCCTGCAACTCAGAGCCAGCAACACGGGAGGCGCCTTGGTTTGTGATATTATGATCCACCTCTCGGGCAACTCCAGCCCATCTCCTTACTGGTGACTACAAGCAGGTTTTCTGCATAAGATGAAAGCCCTATGAACTTTAATTCACAGTCTTGGGGCCCATATACCGCTGGTGGCAGGGTCCGGCCAAAAACTGCAAAAAAAAAATTCACAGTCTTGGCAGTCAATTGTGACCAAATGCGTCCACAAATCCAAATAAAACAGGTTCCCAAATTGTCAGACATCAGCCTTTAGTCAGGTGGATGAAAGTTGCCACATCTGTACTCACTTCAAATTGTTTCAGTTTGAGGTCAGATTTATTAACAGGGGGCAAGCAGGGCTGCCTGATCTTTTTTTTTTAATTCCTAAGAAAGAGAATAATTGTGAAATGTAATAAAAAGGGACTCTTTAACCAATGTGACTTTATATCTCTTCTGATAGTACTACATAAAGTTTTATACAGCATATACATAAATATTTATGTAATGTGAGATTTAATTGATTTCCTAAATGTATGCTCTAAAACAATCTGGTTTATGACATTTATTTTTAAAAAATTCAATTTCTTTGCTTCACTTTTTTATAAAAATATTTATTACCTTTTAATTTAAAGTCTATGTCAAAAAGTTAATTTAAACCTGAGGGAAAAAAATGTAAAATATTCTAAGTATAAACATTTGAGAATTTTACATTTAAATACACAGGAGCAAAAATCATAATACTGGGCACCAATACTCCTGTCTGACACACATCACTACTGAGAGCTGATCATTTTCCTTCTTCAGTGTAAAGCCAGTCATGTCCAAGCAAAGTCAGAGCTAGGCTTGTGCTCTTCCTGCTGGGTCTTAAACCCACAGAGGCTCAAGTCTCTAATAAAAATAATGTATCATTTGCATATAACCGACAGAAGTCCTTCCCAGTACTTTGTATCACTTCCAGATTACTTATAATAGCTAATAACAATGTAAAAGCTATGTAAATAGTTGTTATACAGTACTTTTAAATTCAACATTTTTTACTCTCTTTCCTCCAACTATTTCCTGTCTGCAATTGGCTGAATCCTTGGATGTGGAACCCATGGATAAAGAGGGTTGTTACGAGTTGTCTTTTATTTAGTCTTTATTTCATAACAAATTAACTTTATATTTTAAAAGTGTTTAACAAACCCGAAGAGCTGGCAAGGGAAAATGATTTCTTGGGACCAGGCTTACCTGTGAAGCATATGTAAAGAAATTACAAGCTGAGGCTCATTAGTCGTCGGGGAGCGGATGAGTTTGCTCTTTGTCTGCGCAGCAACGAGAGTGCCGTCGGACAAGGAAAAGCGGTAGATCTGACTGAACGCCAGGCCTTGTCTCAGAACTGCGGGCAAGCAAGGACAGAAGGCATGTTTAGAAAAAGACATGGAGGCTGGGAGGAGGACGAGACTTAGTAACTGATAAACTTCATGAAGGACCACAGCCTCATAGTTTCCTTCCAGCATGCTAAAGAGTTACAAGTAATAATTCAGGATGTAAAATTCTTTCTCTGTCTCTCTCAAATCTATATTTGGAAACAGGGTCTAGCTTTGCTGCCCAGACACAAGAGCAGTGGCATGATCACAGCTCACTACAGCCTCAAACGTCTGGCCTTAAGCAATCCTCCCAGCTCCACCTCCCAAAACACTAGGATTACCGGCATGAGCCATTATACCCAGTTAACACATTAATATTTTTAAAACTACATTTACTTTTCACTCAAAATATCAATAAGCTCTGGCCTGGCACCAGCCACACAAACTGAGGAAGCTGGGTTCGAACCCAGCCCAGGCAGGTAAATGATGACAACTTCAGCAACAAAAAAAATAGCTGGGTGTTGTGGCGGGCACCTGTAGTCCCAGCAACCTGGGAGGCTGAGGCAAGAGAATCGCTTAAGCCCAAGGGTTTGAGTTTGCTGGGAGCTGTGACCCACAGCAGTCTACCAAAGGTAGTCACAGTGAGACTCTGTCTCAAAAAAAAAAAAAAATCAATAAAATAAAAAAATCAGTAACCTTGATATATAGTTTTTCTTATAAAAAAGAGTAAGAGCTTAGAACCTCAAACTGTTCTGTTTAAGCCTTCAGTATCACGGCAAAAGAGTGTAACTATTTATCAAGTCAAAACAAACTTTCCAATGATTTGTTTTAAATGTTAGAAATTAATACAGTTCATAAACACTATATATATACATATATATATATATATATATATTTTTTTTTGAGATAGAACCTCAAGCTGTCCCCCTG